TAGAGTGGCATAACCTCAAATACATAAATATTACACTAAAGAAAAAGACAGGTATATAACAAGTCTGGTAGTAACAGTTTAAAGGTCACTCATTAAAAGTACAACCCCTGCAGCCTTGCATCTTTGATCTTACATATATATGAGAGATACTGTCCCTACAGTCAGAAAATAAGGGACATAAAAAGAACTGTAAGAAGCTGCTGAATGCTATTCCATCTGCCTACAATGAAGAGCAGAAGGAAAACTATCTCAGCATCCACCTTACTCTTGATCACATGTGTAGATTAACTGTACCAAAGATCATTCTGCTCCCTGCCGCTTTTATAAAACCAGGCTTTCACAAATGTAACTTTTTTTTTAAAGTAATATATTCTTACTTGATATAAAAAAGGGAAGAAAAGACAGTAGAATCTTAGCAGAAATCCCAACACCAAATAGCACTGCAGTGGGTATTAATTCAACATATCCACTTGGGTTTGCACTCCGTTCAGGTCATCTGAGGGTACCGATTCATTTTGACCCCTGAAGGGAGCACATGGGAGATTTGAGAATCAAAAGAGTAGTTCACATATGGGTTCAATGTGGCTCACATATGTGCACAGACAATTGCAGCAAGTGGCCTTACATTTTTCACTACTGCTGTGATACCCAAATTCCAAGTTAATGTGGGAAGGGTTATGGTGTAAAGCAAGTTCAGCACAGAATCTATATTTTTAGATAGGCGAAGTTTGCTAATGGTGACATGACATGGTCTTATATCAGATGATAACTGGCAATTTGTCGTGGTGGCCATTTTGAAACCAGAGGATCAGCCTGGTCATTGGAGATCTGGATTAAAATGTCTAATTTATTTTTTTTAGGCAAGATCCAAGGTCATGCAACCAGAGTTTCACAAATCCAGTAGACCAATGTTAGCCTGGAGGGCACTTCCCTGACTGGAATTGATTGCTCCCATACACAAAGCACAAAAACTTCCAGTGAAGGATAGATAAGTATGCTTCCAGATAGTCCAAGAACACTGGGAAGTCCTTTTGAGTAATGGCTAAGACTTGTTAGTCTCCATCTTATGAAATGTCTGTCATATAGCAACTTGCTGAGCTATTTGAACTCTAAGATGAACTCTGTTTGGGGACCAAGCAAGAATAGAATAGACCCTGAACTAGTCATGTGTAATGAATCTATTCTGGGGGTGAGAATCTATCAGATTCCCTGGGCTCAGGTCCCCAGACTGTAATCTACTTTCTTCCTGGCAAGCACATCCAACATTCACAGGATGCTTGCTAGGAATTGTGCCCCAAACCCTACAGAAACATTGTCCCTCTTCTGCACCACACACAGCAGCCTTTGTTTATGCTGCTGCACCCTACACAAAAGAAGGCTGCCAGTTGCACTGTGCCTCTTGGCTCCCAAACTTTCCAAGACTAGGGCAAACATGAGAGGAATTTCATGAATGCTATAGAGACAGAGTCCTCTGAGTTTTCCCAAACTTACCCTGGAAGACCTCTGGCCCGAGAGAACTGGCTTTGTTATCTCCATCTCCAAGAGACCAGAACTTTCCCCAGTATTGCCTGGTACTTGGGGCAAACTCTAGAGCATTGTGCAATGATGTTGTTTCTGTGAAGTGACAACATCATTCCAAATCAGGACATGGTTGAGAAATTGGCCTGCAATTTTCTGAGTTTAGACCTTGGCATTAGGATGAGGGGGTTTGGAACCATTAGTGAAACTTGATAGAGGTGCCATGGTCCTTGACCCATGGCAAAATCATATGGATCTGTATCCATGCAAAGACTGGTCTTTGTTAGGAAACCTAGTAGAATGAAAAGCTTCATGGGATCTGGCTATTATCTCAATATTCTTGGAAGTGGGTAAGACCATGAATTGATCTTTGGTTGCCATTAACACCTGTCTTGTGGTTCACCAAACAGTTTGTTGCCAGAAAAGGTAGAAACTCTGGCAGAAAGGTCCTACTCTAGCAGAGAAGTAGAAACTCTAGAAAGGTCCCACTCTGGCCTGGGTCCCAGGCGTAACCTCCTACAGCCTTAGCTAAATGCTAAAGCAACCACATTAGCTTCCATAGTCTTGGATCTCAATTAATGCTGCAAGACAGGGCAATTTTCTTAAGTGTATCCTTGATGGATTTAAATGTCTTTTCCATCTCTGCAAAGTCATCTGACCACAGAGATACTGCCTGGGCAGAGACAGAATTAGTAAAAGAGAACCTTAAAGCCATAGCTGAAGTCTCAAAACCCATTTGCAAAGCAGCCCCCATGTCACAGGGATGTTGGAGGCTGTAGGGATGATAGCAAAGGGAGCCAAAGCGTTCTCTATAGCATCCACCACTGGAACTCTGAGAGTCTCCACCTGGTCTAGTGAGAGAGAATCTGACACACACTTCCCTTCTGGCATGGGTGAGGCAGCTGGGTTTAGAAGAGGTTATATACACCATTCCACAGCCAAGAATTCCTGCCACTTCTATTCCTCTTTAGGCAATAATAAACCCCAGTAGGGGAAGAGAAAGCAGAGCATCCATTCTTCAAGGAGCAGATCCACACATAGGTAGGGAAGAGGGGGCACAGATTTCCCTCTCCTCCTTCTACATCATCACAGATAGTTTGCCTTCCCAGACACTCTCTCAGAGAGAAAAAGCCAGTAAAAATGAGACATAAACATTCCTTCCTAACCTGCTCTCTTGCTCCTGCCTTCCAGAGCAACAAAGAGGGCATGACTGGGATTTCTTGCAGGGAACAGACTTCAGCCTCCCTTTCACTGGACAGCCTAAAGGTTTCAGTAATACTGAAGGGAGGGAGGCAGTGGACCTTTTGGAAGAGGATTTAGATCTGGATTCCTTGGTGCAATGGGATTTTTCTCTTGAGCTTTCCCCCACCATATTTACCAAGGCCATTCATGTTTTGAAGATAGATGGCATCAGTGGTAAGGGTGTCACCTCTGATGCTCCTCTTTCAAAAGTGGCCAAGGAGGTGAATCCCCAGGGTATTCCCACACCTCTTATAGTTATCTTTCTGAAGCTGCTTGACTGTTGGACCCTCACACTGCCAAAGATGAGAAAAATCAACGCGCAATCTTCCACTCTCCTCTCCATTAGGGAAACTGTAGATGAGCAGTAGCCCAATTGCTCCATACCTTACAGTGCATGCCAGCCCAAGGCCTGGCCTCTTCCCAGTTATGGGGAGCAAAAGGCCAGGCAATGGAGGTCCAGGACAGGACAAAATCCTGGCAAAAATGCTTAAAAACTACTGCTGAGCTCCTAGAACTTCCCAAAGACTGTGTCCCATCACCAGGAAGGGCCCATCTAGTAGAGCTGGTAACTCTTCTTCCTAAGGAGAATTTTTTAAAACTTTTGTTCAGTGGGAGAGAGTAAGCCAATGATCAATACCTTGAGAAGATAGTGGTTGCTCTTTCTGATCTTTCTACTATAACATCTTCCTTGTTTTCAACATTGCTGTCTGTATATCTGTTTTAGTCATTATGTTTCTTATTCTTCACTATTATTTTCCTTTAATCGTATTCATTTCAAATGCATGCACTTATAAACGTTTCCATTACTTTGCTCCTTATTCTCTTCTTTTTGTGCTCCTTCATGACTTTACCATTGTTTGTTTTACTTTCTAAGTCAAGAGATCCATCTTCAGTTTTGTGTCTCCATTTTCCCTTGCTATGCCATATCTCTGGAATGTTTTGCTTAAAGATATTAGGTTTGTCCCCTTCATTTTTTAAACAACTGCTTATTAATAAGAATAATTAGCTTATGCAAGCCTTTCATTCCTAGTTCTCTATAACTTTTGTATATCCATAGATTTTTGCAGCATAAGATAAAGAATAATTGTTTTATTTCCATATACTGGACATTTGATTCTTCCTTGTAAACTGCCCCATGAATTTGACAGGAGGACAGTAAAATATATCTATTAAAATATAAACAAATATAATGTTAAAGGTTTCTTCTCTCCACAACCACCACCAGCAATCAATGATCTTTTAAGGATCATAGTGATCTGACCATCATAAATATGGTAATCATTCAGAAAGACACAAAAGCATCCTTTAACAAATGTATTACATTTTGTATCAAAAATCTATTCCATGAAATTTTCTTGCAGCTCTAATTCAAAAACCTTTATTAAAGTGTAAATGTTAACAAGTGCTACATCTATTATGTAAAATAAATATCCCATGTTAAATTAAAACTTGCTGTCATTTGTATGTGGTGCATATGTATATTGTTTTATTTTTAACTGTATATCAAGTTCTAAGTATATGTGAAATAAAGCAATTTTAATAATTCCTCCTAAATCAGCTATTATTTTTAATTATCTAATACTACAACTGCATTTCAGTTCAATTCAAAATAAAAAGTTATGTAGTTTAGAACAAACCTAGACTAATTGTGATGTTTAAGGTACTGCTAATTCAACTCTCATAATAAACTGAAGTAGCTGAAATGTTTAACAGTATTCAGAAATTCATTAAAGAGAGAAACAGAGGATCTAAACACCACTGGAGTCAATGGAAAGGTTTCAAGTAATCTACGAAAGGCTTTGAATCAGGTCTTTAATCACAGTTCTAATCCTGCTGTCAGCTGTAGTAAGTGACAAACGCTTTGCTGATGTTATCTAGGCAGGAAGCAAACCTCTGACTGAGATTTATATTCCTGTACTTTCCAGAATTGGTTTTGAGATTCTGCTCATTGCAGCAATAATGCTTACAAAATTGTAAGTTAAATTAGAATATGTGAGGTTCTTATTTTATAGTATAGTGTTAATATATCCTAGCTTGTCAATACAAGAATGTAAACACATCTGCTACAAACTGATGAGGCAGGATACATTTTATCAGAAACCCTAATAGTTCAGCAGATGCTGTGGATGGGAAGGAAAATGCAGGAAAGGGGAAAAAAACAATGCTTCCTAACATTAAAATGCCATTTGAAATATTGTTTAGGGCTATGTTCCTTGCATGTTTCAATCCTACTCACTTACCTTGTTTCTCTTGAAGTATGCTCTTCGGCAAGCTGCAAAGCATTTCTCACTGCAGAAGCATTTCACTTCGCTCCCCATACTCAAAGAATAACGCTTGATTCCCACTTTCTGGCACCAGGCACACATTATTTGTACATTTGACACATCATCTTCTGCAACAAAAAGACAAGAATGGCATTTATGTAGCAGAATGAGCATCCTGTCAAACATCCTCACACTTTATCTATTTATTTCTATTTCCATCATCTCCCTTTTTTATATCTGCTTCCCTGTGAGCAATAAATGTTTTCACCTTTGTGTTTATCTGCGTGTTCCTAAAGCAGCTGTTGACAAGCTGCCTCACTCTTCAACTGTCTGGGAAAGATTATCAGTTTTATAAACCATCTAATACATTTCAATTTGAAGAGTTTTTAGCATTTTAAAGCACTGGATTTTATTTTATTAGAATGAATAACTAATGCCAAAAGACACTGTAACATTCCCATTACTTACAGCTCAAGAGAATCAAGTCAACATCATCTGCTTCTGAAATCAGGAATACGTTCATGTTAACCAATTCGGTAAATTTAACAAGTGTGAAGGAAGGAGTGAAAGTGCAGCTGCGTGAACAAACCATATCTAAGTAGTAATGATATATGTGTAGTGTCCTGACAGAATAATATGCCCAGGTAATGGACAGATTATAAATATAATAAATATGGGGAAACCTGGAAAAGGTTATCACTGCACCTTGTTTCTGCCTCCATTCTATAAACCTCCACTCTAAACATAGTTTATGTGAACACATGCTAATATGCTTTTACGAACAATAGAAGTTACAACATAATGAGATCATTTGTATAAAATAATAGAAATTAACCAGAAATGAATGCCACACAGACTCTTCTACTCTTAATGTACTTTACTAAAGTGCTTGCCTTTTCTGATTAAACAAAGTTTTTTCAACTAATCCAGTTTTCACTGTTAGTTAAAAGATTTAGGTGAACAAAACATTTAGAAGTGTTTAATTTAGCAAGCTGATACAACATTGATGTATTTTTTAAATACCAGAGAGTTCAACAGCAACATTTGAAATGTTCAAAAATAAGGAAGTCCATTTATGACATATTGCATAATTCAAATTTCCATTATATTTTATTTCAGCTCCAATTATTTACTTAATTTCTTCTCTTTTCCTACTTTTCAAACTAATATTCTACAGTACCTGGGGCATGGAAGGGCCAGCTGGAGGACATCTTCCTTCCACACTTCAAATAACTTTCCCTCCTTTTCCCTGTATTTACTCTCCAAAATCGGCTGCCTATGGAACTACTTTATTCCATGTAGTGGTCAGCCTGGACTTAGTCTCTTGTTCCTATCTTGAACTTTATCTCACCTGGAGAGCATCTGAATGAAATAATCCCTTCCTTTCCTTCCCGCTCTGCTACATCCTGTTTTTCCAAGCCAGAAGTACAAGTGATAAAGATAAAGGTGCATGATTATCACAGTTCATGGGTTTTGACCATGATCTACACAACCTGCCGATGGTCAAGTGGTTTCTACACTATTGTTGTTTCTTTCCTCCTGACTCATTCTTCCCACTGTTGGCACATATCCCATCAGACACCATGCCTGAAATTCAAACCCAAGGCATATAGCTTCCTGCCTGCATTGCCTATCTCTTCCTGATTGGTGCACACAATTCTCAGAGTGTGTTCTCTGCCAGCTGCCCCCCTTTCTTTCTTTTTTTATCTCCATATCCCTTAGCCAAAGTAGTCTGTTAATGAATGAATCTGCCTGCATAAATCATCCTGTTCTGTTGTGATTCTTCTCCACATCAAAGCATCCTTATCCCTACCCGCTCCTATCTCACCCACTTTTCCCTCCGTGAAGATCTACCAAGGCTTGTTATTGTGTAGGAACTATGAACACATCCATTAGGTTTTCCCTCCATGTATTTATTCCCACCAAGGCCCTGTGGGCAAGCTATGCTGTCTCCCCCACTATGCCTGCAATCAGCTTTTTCTTGTTTCCTGCATCACCACCAGGCAAAGCACCTTTCCCCTCCACCTTAACAATCAAGCATAGAGGCTTTTTGTCAGTCCATCCAACACCCCCTTCTTTGCCCTTTATCATCTCATACACTCCCTCTGCCCGCCCCCCGCCCCCCATATTTTTGCTCCAGGTCCAGGAAGCATCAGAAAGTGCTCATTTCCATGGCAATCCAATCATTTTGGCTTACAGCCACCTCCCCCATCCCATTTTGTGGGGTTGGTTTCAAGCACCAAAACTGCCCTGACATCTCATTATGTCTCCCTAATGTTTTTCTTGTCTCACTGATACTACATTTTTGTTTTACATTACATCACATTATATACTGCATTTTTCCTTGCATGAGAAAACGAAAGTGGCTTACATAGTTCTCTTACACTCCATTTGTTATCTGTACAGCTTTGTGAGGAACGCCAGGCTGAGAGTTACTGACTGGTTCAAAGTCAGTTTTGTGGCTAACCAGGCTTTAGAATCCAGATCTCCCCTCTTCCAAGCCTAACACTCTGCCCATCATGCCATACCCATTCCTCCATGCCAGTCTCCACTTTGTACTTTTTCTCCACCAACTTCATTTCTCTCATCCTCCACCAACCACAATCCTACACACTGGTCCTTCTTCCTCCTGTGTCCTCCCATCCCTTTGGGGAGCACAAGAGCCAGACCACCTAGCCCCTTCCTTGCTAGAAAATACATGAAGTCTTCCCAAACACCCATACGTTTGAGCCACTGCTCAGTCTTCTTCCAAACTGTTATAAAGACATTTCCACGATCCTCAGCAAAATGCATTATGACATGGGCAAACCAAACCAAACTCCAAAGCAAACCCTCCCAAAAGAAAGACATTTCTATAGTAAAGCATAAAAATGGTTATTGCTCATTCAACAGCATAAAAATGGTTATTGCTCTCTTGAAAAGCTTTTTCCACTCTTCATTAGAGTAGTCTTCCCTGTGTTAGGATGTATCCAATAGTCTGGAATAAAAACAAAGGCATGGCAATTCAGACTAGCATCTGTGAAAACCACACCAGACAGTAGTACAGAGACCAGCCAACTCCAAGGCTGCTCTTTTGGGTAGCACTACATGCGTCTTTGTGGCTAGAAAATGAAAGGCAGAAATCTGGGTGATAACAAAGAAGATGGAGGAGGATGTGAACAGAGAGCAGCCTGTAGGGGCAAGATAAGTGGCAAACAGAGATGTCTGTTACTCGTACTAGGCAGAGATAGGTAGCAGAGGTTGAATGGCTAGAGAGGCTCCTAGAGTGATCATTCTTTCCAAAGAACTCTGTGGTAGCCGAATACCACAATGCCAAGTTTGGAAACCATGATGGTGAAGAGAAACCATAGAACAAACTGTTGTTTCTTATTGTGGTTTCTAAACAGCAAACATACCATGCTGAAAAACCACGACTGGGTTCAGACAACATGACAGACAAACAATGGTAAAAAAAATCACTCTAGCTTGTCACGTCATGAAACCCAGTCAATAAATTTCTCATTTGTTGTGCACAGAATGTCTTCTCTCAAATTTGCATGTCTATTTAACACTCAATTGGAATCTGGCAAAATGTAATTCTTCCTGCACTTAGCACATTCATTGTTATTCCATTACTCTGATTGCACAAGTATCAGCTACTGGTTATTTTTATATAGCAATACTCAGAAGTGGCAAGCAACAGAATTATGTCCCAGAAACCACAGCATTTTGTGGAATATATATTTGTTGTATGCAATGGTAGCTTTGAATTAGCAGAAACTATTCTGCTGGTGCAGGGTAGAACACTTACTTTTCACTAATCCTTTCCCCTTCCTATACAGCCATCCATGCCATGCCCCACACTCTTCCCGCAGTCCTTAGGAGCAGCTTCTCTGAGACCTGCAGTGGTTAAGGGGAGTTTATAAAAGGCGGGGGGGGGGGGCCTTTGAGCAAAATCATTTCTGCTTAGTACAAAGCCACTATTGGTGACAATATATTATACTTAAGTTGGAGGAAGGTTATTGTCCTGTACAATAGAGCTCCAGGATCATGGCCCTGCGCTACAGATTTTTTGAGCTAGCTGCACAGCAGTAAGGCTGTACCTTCTGTATCTGCGTCCCACCATTTATTAATACTTTGTTTAGCTGAATAAAGTTGAAACTGCCTGCATTCTGGGCCAACAGAAGCTTTGAAACTGTCTCCAAAATCAGCTCCACACAGAGCACACATTGGCGGTCAAGAAATTGTTAAAGCATACAAAACAGAAAGAGGTAGACATGGCATAACAGCCAGAACTTGTGAAAAGTATTCCTTGTCACAAAGACTATATATGCAACCAAGAGCAGATCTGAATCTTGACAGCAAAACTGAACCTTTTGGGAAACTCTGACTTCATCTAGAATGGAAATATCTACTTCTTCTTTGGGCAGTAGTCCACTCACTATAAACAAATCTTTGGACTGAAATTCAGTGTTTTCATCTTCATCCAGCCTGTTACTAAACTCAAGCAATTATTCAGCTATCTCACAATCCAATAAGGTCTGCTACTTCAGTCCAAATTTCTGGACAGTTTTCCCAATAGTTTCCTGTCCATTTAAGAGGGCATGGGTGTTCTTGGATGTCAATGTCTAAAATTTGTCCAATAGAAATTTGCAGAATCATCGTGTTGAAGGAGTCCTCAAAGGTCAGTCAATCATCCTGCCAATCCACCACAGCAGCTTCCCTGATAATTGAATATCCAGCCTGCTTCAAAATCTCTAATGAAAGGAAGTGTGCCACTTCGCAGTAAGTCTGTTCCACTCTCAGACACCTTATACCATCCGGACAGTCTTCCTAATGTTTAGTCAAAAATCCATTTGTTGTTATGTGAACCTGTTCACTTGGGTCATACCCTCTAGAAAACAATAAATTCTCTGTAATCTATGAGACAGAGCTTTAAATATTTGAAGACGGCTCTTATGTCACTTCTTATTCCTAGGGTTCCTTTTCCTTATTCCTAAACATACCAAACAGTTCTCTTATGCTCTTTGTCGCCCTTCTCTGGACGTGTTGAACAGGGCAGTTAGCTGAAATCTTGAAAGCAAGCAAGCAAGCAAGCCAGCCAGCCAGCAAAAAGCCAATTGAAACCATCAGACATTGAGGACATACT